AGCTGACTCCAGCCCTAAGTAATCCCTTTGCTCTTATTTTTTTATGGTGAAAAACTCATGGAACCACTAGTCCTTGTAACTTTTCTCTCCTCTCTTCTCCCCTCCCTCCCCTCCCCTCCCCTCCTCCCCTCCCCTCCTCTCCTCTCCTCCCCTCTTTTCCCTCCCCACCCCTCCCCTCTTCTTTCATTTGAAACGGTCTTGCTCTGTTGGCTGGCCTAGAGTGCAGCACAGTCATCATAGTTCAAGGCAGCCTCAAACTTCTGGGCTCAAGTGATCCTTTTCCCTTGGCCTCCCAAAGTGCTGAGATTACAGGTATGAGTCATCATGCCTAGCCCCTAAATTGTTTGATGGCATTAGCTAGGAAACATCTCTCAGGTCTGTTAATAAAAATTACAGTAGGGCGGCGCCTGTGGCTCAAAGGAGTAGGGCGCTAGCCTCATACGGAGGTGGGGGGCTCAAACCCAGCCCTGGCCAAAAAAAAAAAAAAAAAAAACCTGCAAAAACAATTACAATAAAACATATCTAATTTATACTTGGATATGAAAAAATAAAAGTATATACCCCACATTAGAAAATAAAACAGTCCCTGGTTGCCTAGAGATAAGAGAGAAAAAAAAAGAAAACAGCTTTATAACAAAAAGCAGAATTTTTCCTCCTTCTAGCCCTCTGCTCCAAAGAGAATATATATATATTTTTTTTTTGAGACAGAGTCTCCCTTTGTTGCCCTTGGTAGAGTGCCGTGGCGTCAGAGATCACAGCAACCTCAAACTCTTGGGCTCAAGTGATTCTCTTGCCTCAGTCTCCCTAGTAGCTGGGACTATGAGTGCCAGCTACAATACCCAGGGTCTCCCTCCTGCTCCAGCTGGTCTCCAACCTGTGAGCTCAGGCAATCCACCTGCTGGGATTACAGCCCTCCAAAAACGTTTTTATCTTCTCAAACTCTATGGCTGATAAACAAACAATAGCTCCCCATTTCACCTCTCCCAAGCCTCTGGCAACCAGTATTCTCCTATAACTTATAAGAGTGTAATCCCATAGTTTTTAATCTTTTTGTGATTGGCTTATTTCACTTAGCATAGTGTCTTCAAGATTGATCTGTGTTGTAGCATATGTGAGAATTTCCTTCCTTTTTTATTTTTATTTTTTTGAGACAGAGTCTCACTTTATCAGCCATGGTAGCGTGGCATGGCATCATAGCTCACAGCAACCTCCAACTCTTGGCCTCAAGCGATCCTCTTGCCTCAGTTTTTCTATTTTTAGTAGAGACAAGGTCTCCCTTTTGCTCAGACAGGTCTCCAACACGTGAGCTCAAGTGATCTGCCTGCCTCGGCCTCCCAAACTGCTAGGACAGGTGTGAGCTGCCACGCCTGGCCAGAATTTCCTTCTTTTTTAAGGCTGAATAGCATTTTATTCCATCGATACACATGCTTTGTTTATCCGTTCACTCACTGATGGATGTTTGGGTTGTTTATGCCTTCTGGTATTGTGAATAATTCTGTTATA